GTTTAAACCTTCTTCTTTTTTTTTTTGTGTTTTAAAAGAGATACACACAATATACAAATTGTTTCATTGCCGAGGACGAGTTGTTATATATACATGGGCGTCGCCACCGACGTCCCTGAGAATTATCTGGATTGTTTGGATGTTACCGGGGTGAAATCGTTCTCGTTCGATATTTGAACGAAATTTTTTCTTTTTTTCTTCAATGTCCAGAGTTCGTTGATTATTCGAGAAGTCGGATTTACGTCGGTTTTTAACTTTCTTTCCGTCTATTCGGCGTTCTGCCTGTTAAACTCGTACGCGTGTATCTCGTGAAACGTGGAGGAACTTTTACTTTCTTGTTTCTCGTGGGGGAAACACGGTGGTAATTCGACTTCGATACCGCGGAAAAGAGACACGACTAGGGATGTTGCAGTTTGACGATCGATCGTGAACTTTTAATCTTGGCGAATGCTGCGGGCGACGAATGTCTCGAAAACAGTGTTTTTCTTTTTTTAAATGTCTCATTTAATAGTTTAGCGCCTCTCTTCTTAGGATCCTTGTATTAATTATACTCCGTAGTGACATCTCTCTCTCTCTCTCTCTTTAGGCTCTTTTATAGATCAACTATATATGTACACTCTATTCCTTGTTTCTTCAGCAGATTAAAACAGTAGCATTAACTTACTCTTAGCAATCCTACGTCTATAAGTCGTTCTCCGACCGTAGTTATTCATATATACATATATATTATATGGAGGTTCGACATTTTTATCGAACACCATCATCCTTTTTCGTTACGTTTTTTCTCCCTCCAATATATAAAGAAAACAGTCTTTTTCGAAGTAACTTTTAGCTTAGTGTCACGGCAGTTCAGTAGAACAGCGTATATAAGCTCTTAAGACTTGCATACCAATTAAGAGAACACTTCTCGCTCTCTATTATTCGCCCTGAAGTACCCGAATCGATAGCACTTACTTATCGATCATAAACTCTCTCGTAGACAACAATTACTATCCAACGAACCTTTTCCACAAACATTGTTCTTTTCAATGTCCAGCAATGTATCTCTTTGCGACGTTCTCTCAAACGCATCCAGGTAATTCCCGGCCTAAAGTGGCGGTGCCTCGTTCACCTGTTACATTACAATTAGACACGAAGTGCAAAAAAAAAAAAAAAAGAAATAAAAAAAATGAAACGAAAAGAAACAGAAAAAAAAAATACAAAAAGGAAAAAAAAATGTAGAAAACGAAGCAAACGAAACGAGCTAAAAAAAAAAAAAAAAAAATAAAAGACGTTTTCCCTGCTTATCATTTTACATAGACTCTTTATGTATCAGAGAATGCAATGCAAGGCTTTGTGCCGTGCCATTTATCATTTATACATAAATCACACTCGCTCTAGTCCTATTCTTGTACATACTACACACCCTTGGTCATAAAAAAAAAAAGAAAAAAAAAAAAACAAGTAATATCGAGACACCGGTGATACGTTTGTTAACGGTCTTACATTTTAACTCTTTATTTTTTTTTGGCTGCGGCGCTCGCAGGCTTACCACTGATTGCTCATATTCCATTCGATGTCATGTCACGTTTCTCGAAGTCAGGTACACAAATAAGTGCGCAATAGCACCAGAAACGATAACGGAGAATATCGAAACGGGACAAAAAGAGAAAAGGAAAACGGCGCGGGGTAGAGCCAGCGAATGCACACGGCGAAAAACGGGCGCGAATCGTCGATTTGTCTTGTTGTGAATCACACGCACCAGTACAGTATAGAATATGTATATATGTATACATCACCGCGATTTACCGTCTTGTCACATTGTTGGCCTGTGTGTGTGTGTGTGAAGCACTCTCTATTAATTTGGTTCACGCGGCAAAAAGGAGGCAGAAATTCGTTCAACTAATTATCAATCATATATACGTTAAGACGATCGGGAAGAAACCAACAATCTCACACGTACAATATACATATACGTATATAGATGTTTGTTTCTCTTTTTCAATCATAGAGACAACCGACAGATATACAATCATTTCCTTCGGCATCGTTCTAATCGATACACTCATAAAATATCGTTACCTCGATGTGCCGCTCATTGTCACTTATTTGTGTGCGTGCCTCCTGTTTTATTATCACTTTTTTCATAAGATCATGCTGATTTTTGTCAATTATTTTTGCCAATCGATCGTTTCGCATTTAAAGTGATGGGCCCAATTCAAATTGCAAGCTCGCTTGTGGACGCGGGCGACTAGGCAGGGGTGAGTAAGCTGGCGGCGCGTCGCATTGCGATGCGCGAGAAAACGGAGAAAC